AGGAAGTAAAGAGGCAGAGAAAGAAGGAAGGAGGGAAAGGGAAGGAAAAGAAAAAGGGAGGAAGGAAAGAGGTAGAGAAGGAGAGAAGGAAAGAAAAAGGTAAGGAAGGAAAGAGGGAGTGAAGGAAGAAGAGAAAGAAAGAGGGAAAAGAAAGGAAAGAGAGAAGGATGGAAGCAAAAAACGAAGGAAGGAAGGAAAAGGATAGAGAAGGAAGGAAGAAGAGAAGGAAAGAATAAAATGGAAAGGAAGGAAAGGGAGCGAAGGAAGAAGAGAAAGAAAGAGGGAAGGGAGGAAAGATGGATGGAAGCAAAAAGCAAAGGAAGGAGAGAGGTAGAGAAGGAAAGAAAGGAAAAGAAAAAGGAGAAGGAAAGAAAGATGTAGAGAAGGAAGGAAGGAGAGAAGGAAAGAAAAAAAGGAAAGGAAGGAAAGAGGTAGAGAAGGAAGAAAGGAGAGAAAGGGAGGGAAGGAAAGAAAGAAGGAAGGATGGAGGTAAAAAGCGAAAGAAGGAAGGAAAGAGGCAGAGAAAGGAGGGAAAGGGAAGGAAAAGAAAAAGGGAGGAAAGAAAGAGGTAGAGAAGGAGAGAAGGAAAGAAAAAAAGGAAAGGAAGGAAAGAAAGAGGTAGAGAGCCAAAGGGCAAATGGCCCGACTCCTACAGCCTTTGTATGCCTCCTCCCCACTATATATTCCCACACTTCCCAGGCTATGATCTCAGCACTGGAAAATGCAAAGCAAAGTCTAACTCTCTCGTTTTGGCAGCAAGACAAGTTTGGGACTTGGCTCGGTTTGCCCTCTGCCGGTCGCGAGGAAAGTTGCAATGTCTCCTTCCAGACAATCATAACATCTTAAGGGGTTCCCGAAAGATGAGGATCCCTAATCCTGCAAAGGTACAAGGGATGCAGATGCCTCGCCAAAATAAAGATCCCAGGATTGCACAGCACTGAGATGATGTCCCTATTATTATTATTATTATTATTATTATTAAATAGGAGCTCATGGAGCAGCTCAACTTTTTGCTTTGGCTCAGCACTAAGGTGACCGTATTAATGCCATTTAGCATTACATTTGAGTAAATAGGATCGCTCTCACAGTCAAGGCGTTCTTTCTAATATTGGAACTGTTATTCAAATCCGTCTGCAAATCAAATCCGTCGGTTTGTGTCCTTCCTCTGAAATGTTCCCCTCAGCACATAGTTTTCCTCGACCGTCCAGGCTTGAACATGTAATATAAAATATCGAATTATAATATCATATTATTATACTGTATTACATTATAATATAAATATTATACATATATATCTTATATTGTTAGTATAGTACAATATCAGTATTATATATTACTATATTGTACTATACCATTATATTGTAACATTATTAGTAATATTACATGTAATATAAAATATATAATTATAATATTGTATTATTATTAGTACTAAATTGTATTACATTATAATATAATGAAGGCACAGATGACATTGTTATCAGCATATTGGAGTTCTATAACAAGTTGTTGTGACCTTGGTTTTGGCTATCATATTATTATTATTATTATTATTATTATTATTATTATTATTATTATATTGTATTACATTATAATATTATAAATATTATATGTATATACAATATATTATATTATATTATATTATTAGCACAGCATATGTAAGTTACTGTAAGTTGAAGTAAGTTACTATAAATATAAATATCATATGTATATACAATCTTATATAAATAAAAATGTAATGTTCGTTTGTGGGATTAAGAGAACTCAAAAACCACTGGACGAATTTACAACAAATTTGGACACAAGACACCTAACAACCCAATGTATGTCCTTCACTCCAAAAAAATGATTTTGTCATTTGGGAGTTGTAGTTGCTGGGAATTATAGTTCACCTACAATCCAAGACCATTCTGAACCCCACCGATGGAATTGAACCAAACTTGGCACACAGTTCTCCCATGACCAACAGAAAATACTGAAAGGATTTGGTGGGCTTGGACCTTGAGTTTGGGAGTTGTAGTTCACCTACATCCAGAGAACACTGTGGACTCAAACAATGATGGATCTGAACCAAACTCTACACAAATACTTAATATGCCCAAATGCGAACACTAGTGGAGTTTGGGGAAACTAGAATCTTGACATTTTGGAGTTGTAGTTGCTGGGATTTATAGTTCACCTACAATCAAAGAGCCTTCTGAATCCCATCAACGATGGAATTGAACCAAACTTTGCACACAGTTCTCCCATGAGCAACAGAAAATACTGGAAGGGTTTGGTGGGCAGTGTACTTTGGTTTTGGAGTTGTAGTTCACCTACATCCAGAGATCACTGTGGACGCAATGATGGATCTGGACCAAACTCTACATGAATACTCAATATGCCCAAATGTGAACACTGGTGGAGTTTTGGGAAAATAGAATCTTGACGTTTGGGAGTTGTAGTTGCTGGGATCTATAGTTCACCTACAATCACAGAGCATTCCGAACCCCACCAACGATAAAATTGAGCCAAACCTCCCACACAGATCCCCTATGTGGACCACAGCAATGCGTGGCAGGGGACGGCTAGCATATTATATTACATTATATTATATTATTAGCATAGTACAATATCAGTATTATATATTACTATACCATTATATTGTAATATTAGTAATATTACATGTAATATAAAATATTCAATTATATCATGTTATTATATTGTATTACATTATAATATTACAAATATTATATATACATACAATATATATTATATTAAACTATATTATTAGCATAGCACATGTAAGTTACTGGAAGTTGATATAAGTTACTGCAGAAGCAAACCTAGGAATTTAGAGAGGGATGCAAAGACTGGTTGTGTTTGTATTGTCGAAGGCTTTCATGGCTGGAATCACTAGGTTCTTGTGGGTTTTTTCGGGCTATAGGGCCATGTTCTAGAGCAGCGGTTCTCAACCTGGGGGTCGCGACCCCCAGGGGGGTCGCTGGGCCATTTTCTGGGGGTCGCGAAGGGGCCTCGGTTGGCCCCGCCCCCTCAAAATGGCTGCCTTACATGAAACTTCCCTCGCCGAGATCGCGATCCCGCCGGCTGGCAGGAACGCGGGTTAGGCGAGGGAGGCTTCGTGCAGGGCCTAGCACGGGCGGCAGGGGCGCAGCTTAGGCGAGAGAGGCTTCGTGCGGGGCCTAGCCTTGCATGAAGCCTCTCTCTCCTAGATCGTGCCCCTGCCGCCCGGCGGGAGCACAGTCTAGGCGAGAGAGGCTTCGTGCGAGGCTGCAAGGGAGCCAAGGAAGCCGAGGCAGCCTTCGCGCGAACCCTTCCTGGGCTCCCCCGCGCGCTCGCCAAATGGTGAGGCCATGGAGGAGCCCAAGGAGGGCTCGTGTGAAGGCTCCCTTGGCTCCCTTGCGGCTTCACCAAATGGCGAGGCCGCGAGGGAGCCAAGGCAGCCTTCGCACGAGCCCTTCCTGGGCTCCCCCGCGCGCTCGCCAAATGGCGAGGCCGTGGAGGAGCCCAAGGAGGGCTCGTGTGAAGGCTCCCTTGGCTCCCTTGCGGCTTCACCAAATGGCGAGGCCGCGAGGGAGCCGAGGCACCCTCCCTGGGTTCCCTGCGCGCTCGCCAAATGGCGAGGCCGTGGAGGAGCCCAAGGAGGGCTCGTGTGAAGGCTCCCTTGCGGCTTCACCAAATGGCGAGGTTGCAAGGGAGCCATGGGAGCTGAGGCAGCCTTCGCACGAGCCCTCCCTGGGCGCCCCCGCGCGCGAGCCCTCCCTGGGCTCCCCCGCGCACTCGCCAAATGGCGAGGCCGTGGAGGAGCCCAAGGTGGGCTTGTGTGAAGGCTCACTTGGCTCCCTTGCGGCTTGATGGAGTTCAGAATGCTCTTTGATTGTAGGTGAACTATAAATCCTAGCAACTACAACTCCCAAGTGTCAAAGTCTAATTTCCCCAAACTCTACCAGTGTTCACATTTGGGCAGATTGAGTATTCTTGCCAGGTTTGGTCCAGATCCATCATTGTTTGAGTCCACAGTGCTCGCCTGATGTAGGTGAGCTACAGCTCCAAAACCAAGGTCAATGGCCACCAAACCCTTCCAATATTTTCTGTTGGTTAAGGGATATCTGTGTGCCAAGTTTGTTTCAATTACATCATTGGTGGAGATCAGAATGCTCTTTGATTGAGTTGCTGAGCTTGTTGACCGAAAGGGTGCAGGTTCAAATCCAGCAAGCGACATGAGCTTCCGCTGTCAGCCCCAGCTTCTGCCAACTTAGCAGTTCAAAAACATGCAAATGTGAGTAGATCAATAGGTACTGCTCTGGTGGGAAGGTAACCATGCTCCCTGCAGTTATGCTGGCCACATGACCTTGGAGGTGTCTACGGACAACACTGGCTCTTTGGCTTAGAAATGGAGATGAGCACCACACCCAAGTCAGACATGACTGGACATAATGTCAGGAGAAAACCTTTACCTACAACTCCCAAATGACAAAACCAACCCTCCCCCCAACCCCACCAGTATTCAAATTTGGGTGTATCTAGTAATTGTGTCAAATTTGGTTGGGGGGTCACCACAACATGAGGAACTGCATTAAGGGGTCACGGCATTAGGAAGGTTGAGAACCACTGTTCTAGAGGCATAATGCCTCTAGAACATGGCTCTATAGCCCGAAAAAACCCACAAGAACCTACTGGTTGTGTTTCTCTTTGTCGCTGGCAGATAAAGAGTTTTATATTCCATTGCCTCATTTAAGACTTTCTTTAGAAGAGGTAATAATACTTGTTTATATGTTTAATAAAATCCTGCAGAGTAACCGTCTGGGCCTGGTGCTTTATCTGACTCCATTTTGTTAATGACTTTCTCTATTTCCCTCCAGAAAGGTTGTGTGTGTGCTACCCTGTTATCGCTGCTGTGTTTTCCAATTGTTGAGTGTAAATTTCGTACTTTTTACTCATAGGTTTTAATGAGTGCTGTGAGGTTCTCCGAGAACAAAGACAGAGACGCCCAAGTCGTGACGTTGAGACAAGGGTTACGTTTATTTCCAAACGGTTACCACTCGCCGGCTCTTTCCCTTCGCACATGAGGAAACTTGCCCAGGACCCAAGCAAAAACAGGGAGGGAGAAAGAGACGAAACCCCTCCGAAAGACAGTAAACCCCAATCCTATTTGTTAAAGGCGCCTGAACGGTCCGAGGCCGCAAGCGGTGGCAGATGGATGCGGAGTGTGTTGCGGAGTTTCATTTTTGGCATTGGATGTCCTCTCCCCTCCCTTTCACACATTTTATTAGAAAACAAAGGAAGCAAACACTGGAAGATCCAAGAGATGACAGCGATGTACAAAAGTATATTATATTTATATATTTATATATATATGATTCATATCTATTTACAGTGACGGCCGGGACAAAACGGCAGAAGGGTGGCGAGCTGGAGGAGGAATACGGAAGAGACAGCCTTTAGAAGGAAAAGGAGACCACAAAGAAATCGAGAGCCCGTTCCCAAAGCGGCTCCGGAGGAAGGAAGGAAAGAAACAAACATGGCAGGAGCATTGGAGGAAAGGAATACGACGGCACTCTGAACTCAGGCAAAGCGGAGGCTGCCGTTGGTAATAATGGGAGCTGCTACTCTATGGGTTGTGAATCGGGTGCAAGCAGCGTAAATAAATACAGGGACACACACCCAACCACCCACAGGACCAGGGAAGGCAGCGAAAGGTGGGCTGCGAGCTTCCTCCGCCTTGATATAGTTGAGGTCCCAAAAAGCACACTTTGTACGCAGTGCAGAAAGTCACGGAGGGCTTTAGGGAGTTCAGAGACACTGCTATGGCTCAGGGAGATCTGATATTTTATGAGGGTTATCCAGAAAGTAAGGTTACAAGGCACGTAGCTCTTGTGGGGGAAGTTGGTATCACTGCCGTGTAGTGGGAAGACAGCAGAAGCGAATGAGCAGTGCCAGTCGTTGGTAGCTCATCAACTGGCATTGTGGTTAGAGATGAGCATCCTCATTCCGTTTCCCTCCAAGTACTATACGAGGGATATCCAGAAAGTAAGGTTACAAGGCATGTTGCTCCCACGGGAAATTTTCTCGGGAAAGTTGGCATCACTGTCATGGAGAAGGAAGCCAGCAGAAGCGAACAAGCAGTGCCAGTCGTTGGTAGCTCATCAACTGGCATTGTGGTTAGAGATGAGTGTCCTCATTCCATTTCCCTCCAAGTGCTTTACGAGGGATATCCAGAAAGTAAGGTTACAAGGAATGTCACTCTCATGGGAAATTTTCTCAGGAAAGTTGGTATCACTGCCATGTAGCAGGAAGCCAGCAGAAGCGAACGAGTAGTGCCAGTCATCGGTAGCTCATCAACTGGCGTTGTGATGAAGGTTAGAGATGAGCGTCCTCATTCCATTTCCCTCCAAGTGTGAAGTTCGTGCAGTGCCAGTCGTCGGTAGCTCATCAACTGTCGTTGTGATGAAGGTTAGAGATAAGCGTCCTCATTCCGTTTCCCTCCAAGTGCGAAGTTCATGCTGTACGAGGAATATCCAGAAAGTAAGGTTACAAGGCACGTCACTCTCGTGGGAAATTTTCTCGGGGAAGTTGGTATCACTGCCATGTAACAGGAAGCCAGCGGAAGCGAAAGAGCAGAGCCAGTCGTCGATAGTTCATCAACTGGCATTGTGGTGAAGGTTCGAGATGAGCGTCCTCATTCCATTTCCCTCCAAGTGTGAAGTTCATGCAGTGAGTCGTCGGTAGCTCATCAACTGGCGTTGTGATGAAGGTTATCCAGAAAGTAAGGTAACAAGACAGTTGCTCTCACCGGAAATTTTCTTAGGGAAGTTGGTTTCACTGCCATGGAGCAGGAAGCCAGCGGAAGCGAATGAGCAGTGTCAGTCGTCGGTAGCTCATCAACTGGTGTTGTGGTGAAGGTTAGAGATGAGTGTACTCATTCTGTTTTCCTCCAAGTGCAAAGTTTGCACTGTAATACACGATCTAAATGTTAAGGGCATGAAAGCCGCTGCGATTTATTGCAAGATCATTTCAGTTTATGGACAGGACGTAATGTCAAGACAAAATGGGTATGGAATATATTGTGAGACCATGAAGAAGCTTCGCAGAGCCATCCAAAACAAATGTCGTGGGACGCTGACGACGGGAGCCTGTCTCCTTCACGACAATGGGCGTCCGCTCATGCAACACAAGAGTTGTGGACTTCATTTGATTGGGATGTTTGAAGCCACTCCTCTCACCGCCCTGATGTCGCACCCAGTGACTATCACTAAATTGAAGGAACACACTTCTCCGACGACAGCGAGGTGAAAATCGAAGTGACGAACTGGCAGGAAAAGGCGGAGGGAAACTTCTATGACACAAGCATCAAAAACTCATCCCACGGATGACAAAATGTATTGAACTGAATGATAACTATGTGGAAAAATAATGTAATACCAATGCTACAATTAAAATATATTCATTCTTTGTATTTTTAAAAAATCTTGTAACTTTACTTTCCGGATAACCCTCGTAATATCGAAGAGTGTGCAAGTGCCTGGCTTCCTTCAAATTGTCATTTGGCTGAAATGTCTGCAGCAAAAGGGGGGAAAGGACTCCCCACATCTGGCTCTCAGTGTGCCAGAGCATTGTTGCTCTATAATCTCTCTCTGCAAAAGTATATCAGAACTCTAAAATCCTAGAGACCCCAAAGGCCATCCAGTCCAACCCCCTTCTGCCAGGCAGAAGTCATTTTCCCTTCACACACCCCGAGATAGATAGCCATCCAGCCTCTGCTTAAAGGCCTCCAAAGAAGGAGTCTCCACCAGACTCAGAGGCAGAGAGTTCCACTGTTGAACAGCTCTTACAGTCAGGAAGTTCTTCCTGATGTTCAGGTGGAATTTCCTTCCCTAGTCTCCAGGGCAGCATTTGAAGCCTAGTCTCCTCCCTTTCCCATCTTTCGTGTCTCCTCTCCAGCTTCTCTTCTGCCCCATCAGAGCCATTTTCTCTGCAAACAAAACCTTCTTGGTCGTGAGGAAGCCATGCAGGGATTCATTCAAGGCAGCTGTTTCGATTTCTGTTATGGCTGCCATTGGTTCAAGCTCATCTCCGCATCTAGCTGCTCCTGGAAATGAATCCAGGCCCTATAGCCAGCCTAGATAATTCCCAGCGGGAAACTGAGACCAGCCTGAAGCAACGAAGGGAGGAGAGAGGGCACAGTTCCACGCCAACATTGCTCCCGATTGAAAAATATATCGCCACCCCCAGACCTGCAAACAAATGAAGCCAGCAATGTTCGGCTTTTTAAAAAGCATTCAAACACATTCCAAAAGTCAGAAACAACTTCATCTTGAAGTCCTAACCGGACCCCACTCACTGCTTCAAAACCTTTTCAATCCTAAGCAAAAGATATCTTTCTTTCCAATAGTTCTAGTCCTCAGGGTCAGGAAATTATGAAGATATGCCAACACTAAAGGGATGCCAAGCTGGAATTGCACAGGTCATGACAGTAAGGGTTTATCTCTTCCTCTTGTTTGTCTTCTCTATGTCTGAAGAACCCTCCATTTGAAAAGGCAGCTCCCTCTCTTTCACTTATTTTTCGGGGAATCTTCCCCGCAAACCTCAAAAGCCCAGGTCTTGAAACGAGGGCTAATACTTCCCCGCATGTGGGGATGTCATTTAGAGTTCGGTATCCGATCCCCAAGACTAGCAAACACAACTCCAGCCAGGCCAACTCTTGGGAGTGAATTACTGCTGTAATAGCCCCTCAACATTGTAGGTTTCTCTCTTTCATGGTGGGCGACCAAGCCTACTGTTACAATGTGTTACCCTTTGGTCTCTCTACAGCCCTGAGGGTCTTTACTGAAGGCGAGAAAAGCCCTTATTTAAACAAAACAAAACAAAACAAAGGGATGAAGATCTTGTGCTTTCTCGGAGAAGGCTCTCTGGTCCAAAGACGTCACTGCCGCGTAAATTATCCCATATAGGTGTTTTCAAAGGCTGCCAGGAACAAGACAGAAGCAACAAAGGGAGAGATTTTGGAGGGGCTAAAGAATCATAGAACTGGAGAGCTCATACACAGCTAAAACACTCCTGAGAGACGCCCATCCAACGTAAAGATCATCCTCTTAGGGTCAACTTCTGCCTCTTGTTTAGATGGAATCTCTGATCACTTGATCATGTCTTTGTCTCTGAAGCAGCAGCAAGACATCCTTTTAGATATTTAAAGATGGCTGCCATTCATTTGTGACATCTCACTGCCATGAATATATTGCGTGGAAGCAAATAAGGAAGTACAAGGAACTTTGTTCGTGTTATGGAAATCTTGTTCTTGTAAACAGTGCAGCCATATTATTTTACTATAAAGAAAAGCCACATATGGAAGAGATAACATTGTCCTGTGTTTTTGTTCTTTTTATCACTTTGGGCTACTGTTGCATTTATGAGGAGGGTATTTTGTTAATAGGCCCACTCGCCCGACAAGGGTTATGGGCCCAGCACACTTCTGCTGCGCTCAATAAACAAAATTTTAGATCCGGTACACATAAAATATTGTCCACTTTTTTCCTTACACAAGGAATACAGTGTTCCCTCAGTACTTTGCGGTTCGCTTCCCGCAGACTAGCTGTTTCGCGGTTTAAAAAAATTAAAATACAAATATTGTCGAAGGCTTTCATGGCCGCAATCACTGGGCTGTTGTAGGTTTTTTTCCGGGCTATATGGTCATGTTCTAGAGGCATTCTCTCCTGACGTTTCACCTGCATCTTATGGCAAGCATCCTCAGAGGTAGTGAGATCAATACAAGTGCTGAGGTAACACTGCATTCCTTGTTTAGGGAATAATGTGGACAATGTATTGTCGAAGGCTTTCATGGCCGGAATCACTGGGCTGTTCTAGGTTTTTTTGGGCTATATGGCCATGTTCTAGACGCATTCTCTCCTGACATTTTGCCTGGCAAGCATCCTCAGAGGTAGTGTGTTGGACTTAAGAGAGGCCTACCTCCAGGCCCCAATAGATAGATAGATGGATGATAGAGTGATGGACCTAAGAGAGGTCTACCTTCAGGTCCCGATGGATGGATAGATAGAAGAGTGATGGACCTAAAAGAGGCCTGCCGCCGGGTCCCAATAAACAGACAGACAGATAGTGATAGATCCAAGAGAGGCCTACCTCCAGGTCCCGATAGATAGATAGATAGATAGATAGAAGAGTGATGGACCTAAGAGAGCCTACCTTCAGGTCTCAATTGACAGGCAGACAGATAGATAGATAGTGACGGACCTAAGAGAGACCTACCTCCGGGTCCCGATAGATAGATAGATGATAGTGATGGACCTCACTACCTCTGAGGATGCTCGCCATAGATGCCGGCAAAACGTCAAGAGAGAATGCCTCTAGAACATGGCCATATAGCCCGAAAAAACCCACAGCAACCCAATGTGGACAATATTTTATGTGTACCAGATCTAAAATTTTGTTGATTAAGTGCAGCGGAAGTGTGCTGGGCCCATAACCCTTGTTGGGTGAATGGGCTTCTTCCTCTGAGGCCGGAGAGGACCGCCAAGGCAGCTTCCACCACGGCTTCTTCCCGTTCGCTCCTCCTTGGGCGACCGGGTGAGAGCCCCATGCCAGTGGGGAAGCAGGGAGGGAGGGAGAAGGGTGGCTCCAGCAAGGGGAGGGGGGAAAAAAGGGGAAAGAGTAGAGGAAGAGAGAGGAGGGGGAAAGAGGCATGGGCGGAACTATACTGTACATATACAGTATAGCGTCCCTACATCGCGGTTTTTCACTTATCGCGGGGGGTTCCTGGAACGGAACCCCTGCAATAAGTGAGGGAACACTGTATACACTTAACCCAAATGCAGTTTTCAAGAGCTCCATTTGCCAGAACAATATTCAACATATATTTATTGAAGGAGAAATCCCAAACAGCCCCTGGGATTGCTTTGGAAGATCACCTCCCGACACAATGAGCTGTGCCCATATTGAGAAAGTAGGTGCAAATTTCACTCATTCTGGCAGCCTATGATAATAAATAATGATTTTATTTATTACCCGCCACTCCACATGGCTCAAAGTGGGGTACAGCATAGTTAAAATGGTCCTTTGGTGGCAAGAAAAAAGGCTGGAAGATCTACAGCTGTGTTACCATGTCGGTGTTGGGATTCGATCCCACACTGCCCAAAACGGGAAGATGTGGGACTGTGATTACGACTGAGTACCCTTGGCATACATCTCACTCCCAGAGTGTCAATGACTAAATGGGACATGGGTCAGCGAGCGCTCTTCCAACTCTAGCTCAAACCTGACTATCTGAGAAACAACACTGCAAAGCCATAAACTGCAAAGCATGCTCCTCGCGCCTCCCTAAGTGGACCCAATAAAACCTGCCTTATCAGTTCAGGCTCTTCCCACACCCTTGAGATGAGGGCTGTCAAATCAATTTTCAGCAAGGGCCATATATGCCTTATAGTTGCCCTCAAAGAGCGAATAATCCACGGATACGGAGGACCAATTATATATTTTTTGAAACATAGTGGTCGATGCTTAGTTTTTACCCAGTTCGGGTCCCCAGATGGTACTCATTCCAATGGGTTAAACCCTTGTGCCAGCAAGACTGCTGGCTGAAAGGTCGGTGGTTCGAATCTGAGGAGCAGGGTGAGCTCCCATCTGTCAGCTCCAGCCTCTCCTTATCAGTTCAGGCTCTTCTCACACCCTTGAGATGAGGGCTGTCAAATCAATTTTCATCAAGAGCCATATATGCCTTATAGTTGCCCTCAAAGAGCGGATGATCCACGGATACGGAGGACCAATTATATATTTTTTGAAACATAGTGGTTGATGCTTAGTTTTTACCAGTTCAGGTCCCCAGATGGTACTCATTCCAATGGGTTAAACCCGTGTGCCAGCAAGACTACTGGCTAAAAGGTCAGTGGTTTGAATCTGAGGAGCAGGGTGAGTTCCCATCTGTCAGCTCAAGCCTCTCCTTATCAGTTCAGGCTCTTCTCACATCCTTGAGATTTCTTTGGAAGGAGATCACCTCCCGACACAATGAGCTGTGCCCATATTGAGAAAGTAGTTGCCTGAAAGGTCGGTGGTTCGAATCCGAGGAGCAGGGTGAGCTCCCATCTGTCAGCTCCAGCTTCTCCTGCGGGGACATGAGAGAAGCCTCCCACAGGATGGTAAAACATCCAAGCATCCCCTGGGCAACATCTTTGCAGACTACCAATTCTCTCACACAAACACTGACCGCTATGTTTAAAATAATATATAATTGGTCCTCCGTATCCGTGGATCATCCACTCTTTACAGTTTCTCAAGTTGCTCCTGACATGAAAAAAAAAAGACCTGAACAATAACCCCATCGCTCTTGATGATCCGCCAAGGAGACTGGGGATTATGGGAACGGCAACCCAACGGCCCTTATGGCTTTGAGGTTGGGGAAAGGCGAAATGACACTTTGAAGCCAGACATATCCACAAACCTTGTATATTAGTCTATGGACTAAACAAAACAAACTACAGCCTTCCAGATGTGGCTGTACCCCAACTCTTATCAGCTCTAGCCATGAGGTCTAACAATGAGGGATACCGGAGTTGTAGTCCGGCTTCTGGAGGAGGGTTCCATAAAATGAAACGGCGGGCCTTGAGTTTGACACATGTGCTTTGGACCAAGCGGGACACTTGTTTTGTGGAGGCAGACCCCGGGGAGAACTGCGGGAGGCGAATAAATAGCCGTCTCATTTCCTGGAGGGATTTGGCTGCAAGATATCCCATTCATGACAGACTTATGGGGCCCAGAGCTACCGATAAGCTCATCTCACTTCCTAGATTAGAGCAAGCTAAAAACAGCCTTGGCGGACATTATGGGGCTTATTTGGCCCGACAAAAATACCCAAAATGGAAATGCTTTCCTTTGACTCCCGGGCCTTTGCATCTCACCCAGAGAGATATGGCTGGTGACTCTCGGCGGGGAGATAATCCTTTGTTCCCAATCATCAGGGAGGCGATAAAGAGGTGATAAAGTGACGTGGCCGCAGTTCAAGAACTTTTTGCCTTAGTATCTCGCTTCGGCGGTGATATTACATGCTAATCTTTCCAATGGAGCCAGCAATGAGAAAACTCCCAGCCGGGCTTTGTACTCTCTGATGATCTCATACAAACACAAAGTGCAATCCTTAGCATTATATAACGCTCCCAAACCCCCTCGGGTTCTGCTCGCCTCGGGTTCACAATGGCAAAGGGACATCGGGAGCGGTGTTTTGGTGGCTTTCTTCTGCCGTCCGTGGAGGGAAGAGCAAGCGACGGAAAGCAGGTGCAGATCTGAGCCCGACCCACAACGTGGTCCAAATAAGTCCAGGCCTCGGCTTCCGGTCGCCGCTACGAGAGAGTCCAGTGCGTCCCAGCCCTATTATACAGCAAAGTCCAACTGGTCGGACCAAAGGGAAAAAGAGAGGGGGGGAAACCCAAAAAGCCAGAAACCCCTACAGAAAAAAAAGGAGACGCCCGCTCAGGAGTGTAGGTTACCCGGCCAGCTTGCTGGTGACGAGAGAGGACTTCCGCTGCGGGAGGTCTTGGGGCGTGGGGATGTGGTCACCCGTCACCAGGTTCTTGTCCGTCCCGGCCGTCGGCAGCTGCTTGTTCTTGATCTTGGCTTTGGCCATGTTGTAGTCACCAGAGTCAAAGTACTTTTGCTGCAAGAAAAGGGAGAGGAAAGTTGGCAACAGGACAAAATAAATAAATAATAATAATAATAATAATAATAATAATTTATATAAATAAAAATGTAATGTTTGTTTGTGGGATTAACAGAACTCAAAAACCACTGGACGAATTGACACCAAATTTGGACACAAGACACCTCTCCGACCAACGAGTGACCATCACTCATAAAAACACTGAAAAACACAGCAGACAGGACTTAAGAAGGCAAAAAACAAAATAATACATTACAACACGTGCACAAAACCACATATGTACACAAACACACATATATACACACACAAAACATACAGAGAAGGAAGGAAGGAGAGAGAGAGAGAAAGAAAGTGGGAAAGAAGGGGAGAAGGAGAAAAGGAAAGAAAGAAAGGTAGAGAAGAAGGAAGGAAGGAGAGAAGGAACAAAAGAGAGAAAGACGGAGGGAAGGAAGGAAGGAAGGAAGGAAAGAAAGATAGAGAAGAAGGAGAGAAGGAAATAAAAAAGTGAAAGAGGGAAGGAAGGAGAGATGGAACGAAAGAGTGAAAGATGGAGGGAAGGAAGGAAGGAAAGAAAGGTTGAGAAGGAAGGAAGGAGAGAAGGAAATAAAAAAGTAAAAGAGGGAAGAAAGGAGATAAGAACGAAAGAGAGAAAGAGGGAGGGAGGGAGGGCGGGAAGGAAGGAAGGAAAGAAAGGTAGAGAAGGAAGGAAGGAGAGAAGGAATGAAAAAGAGAAAGATGGAGGGAGGGAGGGAGGAAACGAAAGAGAGAGGGAAGGAAGGAAGGAGACAAGGAAGGATGGAACAAAGAGCAAAGGAAGCGAGAAAAGAAACAGAAAAGGAAGAGGGAAGGGGAGAGAAAAAGAAGGAGGAGAAAGAGGGAGGGAAGGTTTGCCACAGCAACGCGTGGCGGGTACAGCTAGTCTCATATAAATAAAAATGTAATGTTCATTTGTGGGATTAACATAACTCAAAAACCACTGGACGAAATGACACCAAATTTGGACACAATACACATATTAGGCCAATGAGTGACCATCACTCAAAAAATTGATTTTGTCATTTGGGAGTTGCAGTTGCTGGGATTTATAGTTCATCTACAATCAAAGAGCATTCTGAACTCTACCAATGATGTAATTGAACCAAACTTGGCACACGGGACTCCCTTCACCAACAGAAAACACTGGAAAAATTATCAGGACCTCAAAATTGAAGTGCAAAGGCTCTGGCATAAACCAGTACAAGTGGTCCCAGTGGTCATGGGCACACTGGGTGCTGTGCCAAAAGATCTCAGACGGCATTTGGAAACCATAAACATCGACAAAATCACGATCTGTCAACTGCAAAAGGCCACCTTACTTGGATCTGTGTGCATCATTCAAAAATACAATCCTAGACGCTTGGGAAGTGTTCGACTTGTGACTTTGTGATATGAAACCCAGCATATAGATCTCGTTTGCTGTGAAATACTGTGTTTTTGTGTCATTAATATGATAATCATAATAATAAATAATTCACTGTAATTTGAGAGCTAATGAGAGTGTGTTTGTAAGGATGATGATGATGATAATAATAATAATAATAATAATAATAATAATCCATCGTAAAATGGGAGTTAGTGGGAGTGTGTATGGAAAATAATAATAATAATAATAATAATAATAATAATAATAATAATAAATTCACTGTAAAATGAGAGCTAATAGGAATGTGTTTGTATGGATAATAATAATAGCTCACTAAAATGAGAGCTAATGGGAATGTGTTTGTATGTATGATGATGATGATAATAATAATAATAATAATCCACTGTAAAATGGGATGTAATGGAATGTGTTTGTATGATGATGATAATAATAACAATAATAATAAATAATTCACTTTAAATGAGAACTAATGGGAATGTGTTTGTATGGATGATGATGATGATAATAATAATAATAATAATACATTGTAAAATGGGATTTAATGGGAATGTGTTTGTATGGATGATGATGATAATAATAATAATAATAATAATAATTCACTGTAAATGATAACTAATGGGAATGTGTTTGTATAGATGATTATGATGATGATAATAATAATAATCCATTGTAATCCATTGTAAAATGCGATTTAATGGGAGTGTGTTTGTATGGATAATAATAATAATAATAATAATAATAATAATAATTCACTGTAAAATGAGAACTAATGGGAATATGTTTGTAAAAATGATAATAATAATACGCCATTGTAAAATGGGATTTAATGGGAGTGTGTTTGTATGGATCATAATAATAATAATAATAATAATTAATTCACTGTAAAATGAGAACTAATGGGAATGTGTTTGTATGGATGATAATAATAATAATAATAATAATAATAATAATCCATTGTAAAATGGGAGTTGGAGTGTGTATGGATAATAATAATAAAAATAATTCACTGTAAAATGAGAGCTAATAGGAATGTGTTTGTATGGATAATAACAATAATAATAATAAATGATTCACTAAAATGGGAGCTAATGGGAATGTATTTGTATGGTTGATAATAATAATAATCCTTCGTAAAATGGGATTTAATGGGAGTGTGTTTGTATGCATAATAATAATAATAATAAATAATTTACTGTAAAATGGGAACTAATGGGAATGTGTTTGTATGGATAATAATAATAATAATAATAATAATAATAATAATAAGCCATTGTAAAATAAGAGCTAATGGGAGGGTGACATGCTGATGAAAGGCAAAGGTTTTCCCCTGACATTAAGTCCAGTCGTGTCCAGCTCTGGGGTGTAGTGTCATCTCCATTCCTAAGCCGAATAGCCGGCGTTGTCCATAGACACCTCCAAGGTTATGTGGCCGGCATGACTGCATGGAGCGCCGTTACCTTCCCACCAGAGAGGTACTTATTGATCTACTCATATTTGCATGTTTTCGAACTGCTTGGTTGGCAGAAGCTGGGGCTGACAGCGGAAGCTCACGCCGCTCCTCGGATTTGAACCTGCGACCTTTCGGTCAACAAGCTCAGCAGTTTAGAGCTTTAACCCACTGTGCCACTAGGGGCTCCCCATACTGATGATGATGATGACTCCGGTACAAGACAAGGTAGTCCCAGTGGTGATCGGCACACTGGGTGCAGTGCCTAAAGTGATCCGCACTTTGCATTTAGCCCGGAAGGGGACCGGCAGCCAGTGGAGCTGCCATAACATAGGAGTAGATCTCCCCCTGTATGGGGCTCCAGTAAAACCACCCGCATTTGGCCCCGCGAGCGAAAGGAAGCCAGCCCCCTTCCCACGATCTTACACTTCCGCAGATTCTTGACAGGGAGAGTGGGAGGTGTCCTGCCACATACCCCCAAAGCGTTGTGGGAATGTCATGAGATCTCTTAGCAACCGAGCGCATGATTCTCCCACTCCCGATGAAAGAGTGGGAGAAGCCCTCGGTGAGTCATCGCCTCCTCCTGCCAAGAAAGTCAGCTGGGTGCCAAAAGTATCTGGAGGGTGCCGGGGGGAGGCGGGGAAAGCCTAGGCCTCTGCCAAGTTGGCCACGACTAATGGGAGGTGGAAGCCCCAAATGGCTCAGGGGCAACAGGTTTCCTCCTGCCGCCCTAAACTATTGGTCCCTCGGCTTGACAAAGGAGAAAGACACACTCCTGAAACTAGAATCCTAGAGCTGGATGACACCCCAAGGTCCATCCAGTCCAACCGTATTCTGCCAAGCAGGGGAACACCATCAAAGCCCTCCGAACAGATGGCCATCCAGCCTCTGCTGCAAAAGGGACTCCTGTCCTCTTCTCTCAGCCTTCTTTCCTCGAAGCTAAACACCCCAGCTCCCTAAGCCATTCCTCATAAGGATTTTGTCCATATCCTCCTTGAATTGAGGGGACCAGAAGTAGACATAGGGTTATTATTCTAGGTGAGGCCTGCCCAAAGCGGAAGAGAGTGGGACTATGACTTCCTAAAATCTCAACACTATTTACCGTATATATTCGAAAAAAAGCCCCCCCCCCCCCCCGGTTCTACTCAAGTCAAGGTTACTTATTATTTTACTTTATTTTTATTACATTTTATTACCGTTATTATTTTATTTTATTACATTTAGTATTTTACTCTATTTATTATTTTTATTATTACACTTATGAGTTTACGCTATAATTATTACATGTATTATTTTATTCTTTTTTATTATTACATTTTTATTTTACTCTAATATTGTTATTATTACACTTATATTATTTTACTCTATTTATTTATTTATTTATTATATCATTTCTACCCCGCCCATATCAGCCCAAAGGCGACTCAGGGCGGTGAATAACTGGCACAATTCGATGCCATATATAAAATACATACATCAATAAAAATAAACATCACATTACAGATTACATTATATCTAAAAACATCAAACCAGTGAACAATAAAAATTTTAAAATTATGTCGTTTATTTTTTTTTACTCTGCCACACGTTGCTGTGGCCCAGTCTGTGTATATGCATTTTGTGTGTGTGTATATGTGGTTTTACGCATTGTAATGTATTTTTATTTTTAAAGCCTCTTTCACTGTGTTTTTCAGTGTTTTTATGAGTGATGGTCACTTGTTGGCCTGATAGGTGTATTGTGTCCAAATTTGGTGTCAATTTGCCCAGTGGTTTTTGAGTTATGTTAATCCCACAAACAAACATTACATTTTTATTTATATAGATTTATTAACTGCATTCCCCTCAAGTTCATTACTTTACATTACATTACAAGTTCAACACTGGGCCAGATTGAAGACAGAGGGGGCCAGGGGACAGTTCCACCTTGTCTCCTGTGCTATGCTAATAATATAATATAATATAATATAATATAATATAATATAATATAATATAATATAATATAATATAATATAATATAATATATTGTATATACATATAATATTTATAGTGTTATAATGTAATGCAATATAATACTAATAATAATATATTATAATTATATATTTATAATACATGTCATATTACTAATAATATTAAATATAATGGTATAGTACAGTGTTTCTCAACCTTCCTAATGCCACGACCCCTTAATACCGTTCATCATGTTGTGGTGACCCCCAACCATAACATTTTCGTTGCTACTTCATAAAAGTATTTTTGCTACTGTTATAAATTCTAATGTAAATATCTGATATGCAGGCTGTATTTTTCATACCTAATACACCCAAATTTGAATACTGGTGGGGTTGAGGGAGATTATTTTTATCATTTTTGAGTTGTAGTTGCTGGGATATATTAGGGTTCACCTACAATCAAAGAGCATTATTAACTCCACCAACAATTGAATTGAACCAAACTTGGCACACAGAACTCCCATGACCAACAAAAAAGACTGGAAGGATTTGGTGGGCATTGACCTTGAGTTTTGGAGTTGTAGTTCACCTACACCCAGAGAGCACTGTGGACTCAAACAATGATGGATCTGGACCAAACTTAGCATGAATACTCAATACGCCCAAATGTGAACACTGGTGGAGATTGGGAGGAAATAGACCTTGACATTTGGTAGTTGTAGTTGCTGGGATTTATAGTTCACCTACAATCAAAGAGCATTCTGAACCTCACCAATGATAGAACTGGGCTAAAAATTCCACACACAACCCCCATGACCAACAGAAAATACTGTGTTTTCTGATGGTCTTTGGCAACCCCTCTGACACCCCCTCGCGACCCCCCCCAGGGGTCCCGACCCCCAGGTTGAGAACCAATGGTATAGTACAATATAGTAACATTTAATTCTGATTATTGTACGATGCTAATAATATAATATATTGTATGTATATATATCTTATCTTATAAGTCGCTCTGAGTCCCCTTCGGGGCCATGAAGGCAGTTCCATCTTGTCTCCTGCACTGTGCTTATAATAGAATAGAATAGAATAGAATAGAATAGAATAGAATAGAATAGAATATATTGTATATACATATAATATTGATAATATTATAATGTAATACAATATACTACTACTAATAATAATATGATATTACAATTATATACTTTATATTACAGTATAATGTTATAGTACAATGTAATATATAATATTAATATTGTCCTATGCTAATAATATAATATATTGTATGTATATATATCTTATAAGTCGCTCTGAGACCCCTTTGGGGCCATGAAGGCAGTTCCATCTTGTCTCCTGCACTGTGCTTATAATATAATATAATATATTGTATATACATATAATATTGATAATATTATAATGTAATACAATATACTACTACTATGACTAATAATAATAATAATAATATGATATTATAATTGTTCATTATAATATGTGATTATGTGATTTCAATTAATGTTACTGTTTTTAATCTGCTATGTATTATGATTTTATATTGTGTTACTGATATAGTGGCATCGAATTGCTGCCTGTGTTAGCCGCACTGAGTCCCCCCTCGGGGGTGAGAAGGGCGGGGTAGAAATGGTGTGTGTGTGTGTATATATATATATATTAAAATGTAATACAATATATTACTACTACTAATAATAATAATATGATATTATAATTATATATTGAATATTAAATGTAATATTACTAATAATATTACAGTATAATGTTATAGTATAACGTAACATATAATATTAATATTGTGCTATGATAATAATATAATATATTGTATTTACTTTACTTGTAAGCTGCTCTGAGTCCCCTTTGGGGTGAGAAGGGCGGCATAGAAATGTCGTAAATAAATAAATAAAAATAATTTCATTAGCTCTTTGTGTCATTAATTGTTCTTTGCCTTAAAAAAAATCTGGCTGTAACTCAGTCTTTAATCTCTTGCCCCATGCTGAGATCACTTCACTTGCATCCTGCACTTTATCAGTGTTGTCTTTCTCAATCTGCTGCCCTTCAGATGCATTACAACTACAGCACGTCATTGGTCGGGGTGGCAAGGAGTGATGACAACAACAGTCCAACCCAGCAAGCTGGGCACGGCTGATAAAAGGTGGGGAGAAAATGGGTCAGAAACCAGTGCGTTCTTCAGACCAGTGCGACAACTGTTTTTCAAATCCTGAGCAACAATACCACAACAAAGCTCCCAAACCATCCAAGATACCTTCATAACAGGTCTCAGCACTCAAAAAAGAGACAAGGTTGTTGGTTTATTGTGCAAAGCGCAACACTGGAGCAATCCCTCCCTGCACGAAAACTCATAGCATTTGCAAACAGGTCTCTTACCCCTTTCTGGAGCCTCTTCATCAAGAAGTCGGAGCCCCCGGGCTTCTGAAGTCCCAAATTTGGGTATTTGGCTTTGAGTTTCGCCTCCTCTGCTCTCTCCGGCTGCGCTGCTTCTTTCTCTTGCGTATCCTGGAAGGAAAGACATTTCAATGTAATGTAATGTAATAAATTATATATACATATATTTATATTATAATGTAATGCAATATAATACATACATACATACATACATACATACATACATACATATATGCTCTGTGCGTAATGAGTACCCTAAATTGTGCTTCAGTAGTTATATTTATATTTTTAATGTACCAAACATACCAATTTTGTATGAAAATGTGACTCTATTTCCTGTGCTGGTCAATGACCGAAATAAATGATTTGATTTGATTACTGCTGGAGTTTGGGAAAAATAGACCTTGACATTTGAGGGTGTTAGTTGCTGAGCTTTATAGTTCATCTACAATTAAAGAGTATTCTGAACTCCACGTGACACACAGGACTCCCATGACCATTGGAAAACCCTAGAAGGGTTTGATGGGCATTGACCTTGAGTTTGGGAGTTGTAGTTCACCTACATCCAGAGAGCACTGAGGACTCAATGATGGATCTGGGCCAAACTTGGCATGAATACTCCATATGTCCAAATGTGAGCACTGTTGGAGTTTGTGGAAAATAGACCTTGACATTTGGGAGTGGTAGTTGCTGAGATTTATAGTTCACCTACTAATCAAAGAGCATTCTGAACCCCACCAACAATAGAATTGGGCTAAACTTCCCTCACAGAACCCCCATGACTAACAGAAAATTCTGTGTTGTTGTAGGTTTTTTTGGGCTATATGACCATGTTCTAGAGGCATTCTCTCCTGACGTTTCGCCTGCATCTATGGTAAGCATCCTCAGAGATAGTGAGGATGCTTGTCATAGATGCAGGTGAAACATCAGGAGAGAATACTTCTAGAACATGGCCGTATAGCCCGAAAAAACCTAAAACAACACAGTGATTCCGGCCATGAAAGCCTTCGACAATACAGAAAAGACTGTGTTTTCTGATGGTCTTTGGTGACCCCCTCACGACCCCCCAGAGATCCGGACCCCCAGGTTGAGAAACACTGCTCTAGCTTATCCTGTTAGCTCTGACCTGCACATTCCCCATTTGTCCCAATTTGGCATTACTCCTCTACCTTCCCATTTTTCCATATGCTTCTAAAGTGTTCTGGTTTCTCTCTACTCCTCCCCTTTTGCCCTCAGCTTATTTCAACTGCTGCAAAATAAGTTCCTGGGACTAGAGCATTTTCTCTGGCTGCTCTCTGACAAACACTGAATGCAAATCAAACATTACGCCTTTCCAAAAGGTTCACTGCCTGGCCTGGAAAGGTATCAATTGGCCAGGATTCTGTTCCGTGAATGGGGTTCCGCCAACATCAGCAGGCGAGATTGTTTTGAACCGGTCTGCCATTCCTGGCAGAGCGGACTGTGGGCAAAAAGTTCCCAAGCTCAACCTTCATCAAGTTTGCCATCTCACTCAGCCTCTCTGGCAAAGGGACTCCCTCCAGCCTCGCATGCTCTCCCTCGCCCACACATGCGCACCACACTGCCATGCGCTGAGCATGCCTGCTCTCCCCTCCTCCGCTTGGAGTCTCATAAACAGCCCACATCTGTTCACTTTGCAGTTTTAAAGTCTCCAATAAGACAGGGACAGATCTCATTCTCGGAGACAATCTGCACGTCAAGCTCGGCATACACACCCCTTGTTATCTCCTGGGTCAAAAACAACTGCTTTATGTAATTCACTTAAAGAGGAATTGCAGGGATGTTGTAAAGGAGAGAAGGTGGCCGCAATAAAGCAACAACAACACTCAAGATACGTCATCTGAGCCACAAGCGAATCTTGGGAATAGACAATTCTTGGATTTTGTCCTGTGTGGTCCTGCATGGTTCAATTTTGTCCCCCATGCTATTTAACATCTACATGAAACCACTAAGAGAGGTCATCCCGAGTTTTGGAGTACGGTGCCACCTCTACGCAGATGACACCCAACTCCAAGTCAGGTGGCCTTTTGCAGTTGACAGATCGTGACTTTGTCAATGTTTATTGTTTCCAAATGCTGGCTGAGATCTTTTGGCACGGCACCCAGTGCGCCAATGACCACTGGGACTACCTGTACTGGTTTATGCCAGAGCCTTTGCCGTTCGATTTTGAGGTCTTGATAACGGCTGAGTTTTTCCTGTTGTTTTTCCTCAATGCGACTCTCACTCAGTATGGCGACATCCATAATCCAGACTTTTTTCTTTTCCACAATCGTGATGTCTGCCGTGTTGTGTTCCAAAACTTTGTCAGTCTGGATTCCAAAGTCCCAAAGTATTTTTGCATGTTCATTTTCCACGACCTTTGCAGGTTTATGATCCCACCAATTTTTTTGCTGCTGGCAGGTGGTCCTTGTGACTTAAGTTCCAGTGAATCATCTGGGCCACAGAGTTGTGTCTTTGTTTGTAGTCCATCTGTGCGATTTTCTTGCAACACCTGAGGAGATGGTCCATGGTTTCATCCGCTTCCTTGCACAGTCTGCATTTTGGGTCATCCGTTGATTTTTCAATCCTGGCCTTAATTGCATTAGTTCTGATGGCTTGCTCCTGGGCTGCAAGAATCAGGCCTTCTTCGGTCTCTTTCTTCAGAGTTCAAATCGTGAGCCATAACCAGGTCTTCTCCCTGTCAACTTTTCCTTCAATTTTGTCAAGGAACTGCCCATGCAATGCTTTGTTGTGCCAGCTGTCAGCTCTGGTTTGGAGTGCAGTTTTCTTTTCTTTCTTTTTTTAATAAGTAATTTTTATTGAATATCATAAGGGAGGGCGCCAGTCTGATGTCCACGGGAAGGGTGTTCCACAGCCGAGGAGCCACCACCGAGAAGGCCCTGTCTCTCGTCCCCGCCAGGCGTGCCTGTGAGGCAGGCGGGATCGAGAGCAGGGCCTCCCCGGACGATCTCAAAGTCCTCGTGGGCTCATAGGCCGAGATGCGGTCAGAGAGGTATCTTGGGCCAGAACCGTTTAGGGCTTTGTAGGCCAACGCCAGGACCTTGAATTGAGCCCGGTAGCAAATCGGCAGCCAATGGAGCTGGTACAACAAGGGCGTTGTATGCTCCCTGCGTCCCGCTCCTGTTAGTAACATGGCTGCAGCACGCTGGACCAGTTGAAGCTTCCGGGCCGTCTTCAAGGGCAACCCCACGTAGAGAGCGTTGCAGTAGTCTAAGCGGGATGTAACCAGAGCGTGGACTACCGTGGCCAAGTCAGACTTCCCGAGGTACGGGTGCAACTGACACACTTATGTTCCTCTGTCTGATCCTTAAGCAGAAAAGATAAGGAGTCCATGTCCATGTAGTCTCTTATTTTAGAGATCCAAATTTCCAGTATTGGAGTTTCTTTTTAGCGCCATTTTTGGGCAAGAAGGGTTCTTGCAGCTTTCGTTAAGAAGATTTTCTCTTTATTTCTATCAAATTTCATATCTGTCAGATTTAAAAGGTGATATTCTGGCTTCATGTTGAACCTTAATATGTTTTGAGTGTAGTTGTGTATTGTTTTCCAATATTTATTAACTTCTTTGCAGGTCCACCAAGAGTGGAAGAATGATCCTGTCTCCACTCCACATTTCCAACATTTGTTACTTTGCTTTTTATAGAATCTCGCTAGCTTTTCTAGTGTTAAATGCCAGCGGTAAAACATCTTATACCAATTTTCAGTAATGTTTAAAGATTTGGAAAGTTTTGTTTTGTTTTTCCACACCTTCTGGGAGTGCAGTTTTCTTGTACTGACTCTTTGTCTGCTGTGCTTTGAGAAGTTTCCAGTTATTGACTTCAATTAAAGCAGGTTTCCTTGACATATTCTGCCAGGGCATCATGTTTTTCTTCTTCAACTGCTTGTTTGACTTGTAAAAGTCCTCTGTGTCCAGACTTTCTAGGCAGATAGAGCCAGTCAACATCACTGCGAGGATGTAATGAATTATGAATGGTCATGAGTTTTCTTGTTTTTCTGTCCAAATTGTCCAGTTCTGCCTGCGTCCAGCTTATGATGCCAGCAGTATATCTTATGACAGGTATGGCCCAGGTGTTTATGACCTTGCTGGTGTTGCCTCCATTGAGCTTGCTTTTGAGACTTTTTCTGACCCGTTGAATGTATTCTTTCCTGACCACAGTTTTCACATATTCATGTTTGATGTTGTCCAGCTGTAGTATGCTTAGATATTTATAGGCTTCTGGCTGGTGACACTTGATTGCTTGGCCATTGGGCAAACCAAACTCTATGTTGATATCCATGCTAAAGATTCGGAAAGTGTTAGTCAAGAGACTGGATTTCAGTTTCGGTTTTCCCATACAGTTTCAGGTCATCCATGTACAGCAAATGTGAAATTTTGTGAGATCTCTGAGATGTTTGATAGCCGAGGTTTGTTTTTTGTAAGTTTGTTGACAGAGGGATCATGGCAATTATTATTATTATTATTATTACAAATGATAAGATGCTCTTGCATTTATTTCTTGCTTGTCAGCTTCCAACAGGGCTCTGATTAGCCTCAATTGAAACTGTTCCAGTGTAATCCCACTAACAGAGTTGCTGGATACCTCTTTATTGGCCTCTGCTCCAATGACAGCGTATAAATCAACTCTTAGGCAAGAGATTTTATCTTATGGGCCCATCTTTATACAAATCTGATTAGAAACACTGATTCACATTCAGCTGGAAAGGGCCTGGGTCTGCAGACTGTTCACGAGGAGTCCCGAACACAGCAACAGGGCTGGCTGGAGATGTCTGGCCTCTTCTGCAGCAGCACAACAGACTCTGGTTTCTCCTCAGATCGTATTATTATTATTATTATTATTGTATTGTCGAAGGCTTTCATGGCCAGAATCACTGGGTTGTTGTAGGTTTTTCCGGGCTATATGGCCATGTTCTGGAGGCAATTTTTCTCCTGATGTTTCGCCTGCATCTATGGCAAGCATCCTCAGAGGTAGTGAGGTCGTTGGTTTCTTAATTTTATCCCAATCATCCGGATGAAGTTCTCCTATAATGAAAGTATCTGACAGCATCCTGGCATCTGTGGAATGGCCAACATCCTCAAAACTTTCTGTAGCATCTCC